ATCTGTAGTTGTATTAATAGTCTTTACCGTTTTCTTTGTTAGTTTTTGTTGTTTTCAAAGGGTTACAACTGGGTCTATTCATATTTTAAAGTCTTATTTTAGTATTTTTCTATTGACTATATACCTGTTCTGTCAATATGGAGCTAAGGTGTTTAGAAAATGATCATAGACCCAGATGCAGTAGCATGCACTACTCAGTCTCTGTGCTTAGGACACATGGGAGGTGAAGGTTTGATTCCTGACTCAACCAAAAGGCCAGGTGGGGTGGTGTGTTCCTGTAGTCCCAACAGCTCAGGGAGGCTAAGGCCGGAGGGTTATAAGCTATAGGTTTGCAAGTTAATGACTAGCTTGGATACATAGTGTAACCCTAACTGAAAAAGAGCTGGCGGCCAGATTCCACAGCAGTAATGCAACTGGATCCATATGGAAAGGTCCCTGGTTCATGTTCCAGGGCCTCTCTGTGCATGCTGCCTATCCCATGATCTGGACTAGTTGGAGGTGAATCATGGTGAGAAGACCCTATGGGGGTAATGCCCCTTCCCCCCAAACCCACAAAAGAAACTTTTTTTAAAAAAGAGTTTGGCGTGATGGTACATGCCTACAGTCCTGTTAGAAGACTGAGGCAGGAGGATTATAGCATGGCAGAATCAATTTTAAAAGGCAAAAGAAAATGATCATAATTAGATGTTATTCCTTCTCAGTCTTTTGGTGAGCTTTCAGAAATCCTGATGCCTTGGTTTTATCCATACCAGTTAAATCGAAATATCTGGGATAAGGGCCCCAGGAATCAGTTTTGTTTTTGTTTTAACAATTCTATAAGCAATGCCAATATGCAGCAAGGTTTGGAAACCATGGCTTTACTTGTTAGCCCTGTAGCATAGAGGTTCTTCTTCCCAGTTATCTATTAACTCCTGAAGGTTCATTTACTTGTTTATTTAATAATTGCATATGCATGTGAATTAAAAAAAGGAGATGAGAAAAGTGGGGAGAAGCACCCTCAACAAGGTCTCATCACCCTGTGACCCCTTACCCCTGCCCTCCAGTGCCTTAGGATCCTTGTCCATGTGTGTACTTGGGTGTTTTCAAGCCAAACCTGTGATCTGAACCTGTGGTCAGCCATATGGCTTTCAGCCAAAAAAATAACTTATGTTACTTTTGTACCACAGTAGTTGGGCTCTGAGGATTAATTGGATAACCTCATAATAACACATTTTAGCTACTTGAAACTGAGGATAAGCCAATATTTTGTGGTAAAATACACATAACATAAAATTTACCACTTTAACCATATTTAAGTGTAAAATTTACTGTCATTAAATACATTCACATTTGTAAAACCATCTTCACCATCCATCTACAGAACTTTTTCCTTTCCAAACTGAAACTCTATCCTGATTCAACAATAATACTCCTCCTCCCAGCCCTTGGCAGCCACTGTTCTTTTTTTTTTTTAATTTTTTATTTATTCATTCATTTATTTTAATTTGACCAGAGAGAGACAGAGAAAGAGAGAAAGTGAGAAAGCAAGCCACCAGGTCCAGGACTTGAACTGCAGTTGGCCATGTGGGAGTGTCTAGCGCCTTAACCACCACACCATTGCTGGTCCCCACCACTGTTCTTTTATCACTCTGAATTTGACTACTCCAGGTGCCTCATACTAATAGAATCATACAGTATTCACTCTTTTATAATTAGCTTGTTTCTCTTAGCATGTCTACAAGATTTATTCATGTTTTAAAATGTGTTCAAATTTCTTTCCTTTTTAAGGCTAAATAATATTCCTGTGTGTGTGTGTTTTACATTTTCTCTATCCATTCATTTGTTCGAATACTCCTTGAATGCCTTTTGTGAATAACAGTGCCATGAACCTGAGTGTAAAGAAGCCAATGTTAAGTGCTAAACTGATGGTTTATTCTCTCTCTGCAAAATGCTTATCTGAGTAAATTACATGTTCTTTGTTATTAGGTTGTAGTGAACCAGATGAATAAACACCTGTCCCTCCTCTAATAAGGCATACATTAGGTAGTATTCTAGATACTTTCCAGGCTTTCTCAGAGGTAGTGGTGGAATTCCATTTTATTTCTTCAGGAATTTTTGTGTTATTTTTTGTTTTTAATTGTCAGATGGTGTGTGCATCTGCCAGAGAGAGAAAAAGTACTCCCATTTGGGACATAGTCATTCTGCAGTCCTTTCCTTTACTTCCCCAGCCCAGTAGGATTCAAGACACACTTGCACATATACCCAGTGTGTTTTTCAAGCATTTATTTTTAGAATTGTTTTATTTAACTTTATGTATGTATGCATTTATTTATTTATAAAATTTGACCAGAAAGGATCAGAGACAGAGAAAGTGAGAAAGCAAGTTGCCAGGTCTGGGACTCAAGCCATGGTTGGCCATGTGGGAGTGCAGCGCCCTTAACCACCATGCTACCTGCTGGCCTCCCAAGTTCCATTTTATTTAAATCAGTTATCCTGGTCAATCTATGGATCAGTCCTGCAAAGGCTAAGTTCCACAAATATGATGGAACTTCAGAGATTCATGGGAAAATGGAATTAAAGTATGAGTTTATTTTGATGCAAAAATTTTTTGAAATCCACATGTAGTTTTTTTTTGATAATATGGGTTTCTCGTGTACTTTTTGAAGTCCCCTCATGTAGTGACACAAGTCTCTGTATGTCTAGAATGAAATGAAGGACTCATGATGTATAGTTTTGTCTTACTTCAGAATGCTAGGGCAAAACTGTAAGCTTCAAAAACAAGTTTTATTGTTTGTTTGTTTTTGTTAAGTTTTTGCCATAGGGCATGTGCACTTGCTGGAAAGAGACAGAGAGGGGCAAAAAAAAAGAAGATAAGAAATCAGCTCCTGGGACCAGCAGTTAGCATAATGGCTATGTTGCTGGACTCCCATGTAGTCGACAGTGGTTCGAGTCCCGGACCTGGTGGCTTAAACTCATGCCAGGCACCTGTGCATGCGTGCCTAAGATCCCAAGAGGAGAAGGAGGAGAAGGGATTGTGGCGTGGCCATCCCCCCTGGGGGGTGATTTCTCACTTTCTGTCTCTCTGTCTCTCTCTCTGTGTCGCTGTCGATCGCAGGCGCCCGATAGCAAAAACCTCTCCAAAAAAAAAAAAAAAAGAAAAGTCAGCCCCAGTAAGGATGATCACAGTGCAATTCGTTCTCCTCTTGGGATTTTGGGCATGCATGTACACATGTCCAGCATGATTTTCAAATCACCAGGTCCAGGCAGGACTCAAATCATGCTTGACCATGTGGGAATCTAGCACCTTAACTGCCATGCTACCTATTGGCCCCAAAATCAAGTTTATTTTTTAAAAATAATTTAAATATAATTATTTATTTATTATTCTTATTACTTACTATACAGCACACACACTCACCAAAGGGCGGGGAGGGAAGAGAAAAAGGAAGCTGCCAGGTCCAGGACTTGAACTGTGGTCAGCCATGTGGGAGTCCAGCACCTTAACCACTATGCCACCCAAACCAAGTTTATAAAGCACCTTAGAGGGCCAGGGGGTGGTGTGGTGGTTATAGTGTCTGAATCCCACATGGCCAACTACACAGCATGGTAAAAGCTTGGGTCTGGTGGCGTTTAAAACATACCAGGTACATGTGTGTGCATCCCAAAACCCTGAGAGGAAAGTGAGGGGAAGGGATTGTGGTGTGGCCATCTTCCTTGGGGGTGCTTTCTCACTTTCTCTGTTTCTCTGTCTCTATCTCTGCCGAGGGCACACACCCTAAAGCAATAGGAAAAAAAAGGAACTCTCAAACATTTTGCTCTAAAAGTTCTAAACTAATTTGATTGAGTCTAGAAGCCACATTAGGGCCCTTTTATTTGCTTGCAGTGTTCCTCAAATGGGCTTTTAACTCTACTTCTACCATATGATCTTAGCTCTTTTGCATGATAGACCTAGCACTTGAGCTCATGTTTTCATTTCTTTCCATGGTTATTTCTTCAAGTCTGTTCATGTATTGAAAAGAGAGAGAGAGATACAGACAGACAGTTACCCTTGACAGGTCCTCACCACATTGTGATTCTCCCTCTAGCCTCCCAGTCACCTGGGACCACGGGCACACAGAGGTATGCCCAATGTGCTCAGGTCAACTTAAGATCTAAACTCAGACCTCCCTTGTAGCTCTAGTATAGCACAGTGACAACCCTACCATCTACTGCCACTGTGGCTAGCTGGGCCTCTCTCCATCCTTAGGGAGCTGCTTGATCACTTGTCTCTTGATTGCTGTGAGAGTATACTTTTTTAAAAAAAGAATTATTTACTTTTATTCATTGTCATTATTTATTTTATTTTATTGACGTTGACCAGAGAGAGACAGAGAGAAGGAAAGTGAGAAAGCAAGCTGCCAGGTCTAGGCCTTGAACCATGGTCAGCTGTGTGGGAGTCCAGCTGCCTTAACCACCATGCCACCTGCTGGCCCCAAGAATATACTTTTTTTAAAGATGATTCAGCCAAGTATTTTTTACATGAGTTCAACTGTGTTAAGCAATAAGTGGAAAATTTTATAGAGGCAATCCATTTTGAAAAAGTCATGATTATTTTAACATTATTTTTCTGAAGGCATTACTGTTTCACATTCCTACAGAACACCCATCCTTACCCTGAAGGACAGTGAATTTTCATTGGTGTGTATGTTTCACTTTGACCCCTTTGATACTTTATATTACTTCTAATTAAAGGCAACTGAAATGAAAAGAGGGTTAGGCCACTGAAAAGGAGAAAAATTTTAAATTTGTTGGTTTCTTTGGGATGAGAACTGGATTACATAAATTTGCCTTACAGTTACAGAAATGCCCTAAAATTGAGAATCTGATAGAACAATACAATTTAGAGCCAATTCTAAAGATGAGCCATAGACAGCTTGTTTTGTTTTGTTTTGTTTTGTTTTGTTTTGTTTTGTTTGAAAACTTGTTTACATAATTCTGTAGTCCAAGAGGTTAAGAGTGAGTAAATAATCCTTTCTTTGTAGATCTTCATCTGCTGGTGGACGTGGCCTGCAAGCAGGAGCATTTTCCCAAGGAGGAAGAATTAAAAGAGTGAGGAATGGATGACAAAATGTGATATTGTGCACTAGCTGTAGCTGGAGGCAGACTAGCCTTGCACATGACACACTGTTGGGATTTTTTTCAGTTCTGTTAAGGAAAAAAATTTTTTGTTTTGTTAATTGAGAATTTTGTTAATTGGGAATTTGGTATTACTGCAGCAGTTCAGTTCAGACTATTTACCTTGACAAACTTCTAAACATCTAGCAGTGTGGTTTTTTTCTGCCCAGATCCCTTTCAAATTTAAAGTCCTGGCCTTCTGTTACAGTCAAGAAACATCTGAAAACTGCTGTATCTCTGCCACTAGAGATACTCTGCTGATCTGTTGTCTTGTCACTCTCGGCCTGTGATCAGCACAATACCAGACGGGTGTTCAGTCTATCTGTTTCAAGTCACAGTGTGATCCTTTTAGAGAAGATGGAGTGAGAAACAAAGGCATGTGAGGTCACCAGGATCACAGGTCTGAATGGGTCAGGAATTCCAGGAAAGAAACCCTGCGAAAGAGCTAATTTTCTAAGTGATTAACCAGGAAAAGCTCTAACTTCCTAACCAGCATTCTGTTTCAAGAGCAAGGCATCTGGACTTGGACCATCCATCACACTGAATAGCCCCTGATTCTCTATTAATGGGAGCATTCTTCTATTTTCATATCTTTCCTTAATTTTAATAATACATTATCAGAAATTATAAGAAGGTTTTGTTAATATGTCACTTAAATTTTTCTAAAGAAAAGTATTTTAACTGGCTTAATACAATTTATAAATACTGATAGATTTAATGGTTTTAAGGGTTTTTTATTTTAGTATTACAGGATAGGAGGATAAAGGATGCATATGTAATACTTTTATTTTGAAGGGGAGCTATACAATGTATGAATGAAAATATTAAGAGATTTAACACAGTGTTTTCTTTAGATTTTTACATTCAGTTAAGTATAAATCCTCATTTATATAAGGTATTGTATGTAAATTTTGGGAAAAACTGATTGGTAGTTATTTAGCAGAAGCTGTGCCCTTGATATTTTTTAATAGTTTCCATCTGGTTTAAGCTTCTGAAACAATTTTGGATAGTGGAAAATATGACATATTTTTCTAATCTCTTCAATGGGATTTTAAATCTAAGTAGTAGGATTGTAGGACTGTTTTTTTTAGGAGAAGAGGGCATCTTGAATGTCCAGTTTCTGTGATTGATCACTTACTTGCTCATCCAATGACAAGAAACTTTCTTATTCAAAATATTTTAAATTGACTAGAACTTTCTTATCAGATTCTACCTCAGTTTTCCTAAGAAGCACTGCAAAAATAAAAGGAAAGCCTAGGAATATGAAGCCAATTAAAAAGAAAAGGCAGTTAGTGGTATGAACACAAGTACTGTGCCAGCCGTTGTGGGTTTACCAGTTCATTTCTTGTATGGCATCATGCCTTCCCAATGATGGCAAACTCTAGAAGTATTACAGAGGACTAGTTTTTCTGGAAAAGGTTGAACTCTGTATTGGTCTGCAGTAAATCAGTTTAAAGATATGTATTTAGATAAAGTAGGTTCTGAAAAGCAACCTGTCTGGT